CTTACTATAATTTTATTATTATTATTTTAACCGATACAGTTTCAATATAAACTGTAATTTTAAAATTGAGTAGACTTGTACGAATAATAATAATAATAACAAACGGATTTTCCAATTAATATTATGTTGAATGAAGTTTATAGATTTTCCATTTAATAAGTTCGAGTGCGGATGCAATAGATATCTTGAAATGGACACAAGTGCATTTAAAATAAAAAGGAGATTGTTTAATAGCCAGCGAGAAACGCAATTAATGTTAATTAAACATATAAATTAAATATATACTGTGGGAATATAATCGCAAGTATTGCTCGGATACACCACAACTTAAACAAACGTAAATAATAAAAAGAAAAATTTGTGGGCGATGAATAAAAATAAAGTCGATCCTGCCAGGATTCGAACCTGGAATCTTCTGATCCGTAGTCAGACGCGTTATCCGTTGCGCCACAGGACCTGTGACGTATATTATTTCTAAATACTTTTACAACATTGTAATTAACAATATTTTATAGCGAAAGTGATAAGTGGGAACCTTTAAAATTTCTCTTATGCTTAATTCCTTATTCCTCCTCTTGTATTCTAAATACAATCCCATATATGCCAACTTTCCTAGCTTGTATGATGAACTACTTTATAAGGATTGGTCTTTTCTAAATTTAGCAGGTGAATGCAGATGATGCTTTGCGAGCTTTCTATACAAAATTGAGATTTTGGATTTATTTGTTCCTAATCGCGTCGTAGATCCTCATACCCTCAACCCAACCCCAAAATTAAACGGCTATTAAAGGTGAAAAAGTATTATAGGAAGAAGTGGACGAGAAGCAACCCAGTAAACAAGAAACATCTGTGAAACATTTCAATTTTAACGTACAGTGAATTAAATGAAACATTTTACAAGTACGTTTCATATACCCTGTTTTTCCGCTAGAAGCCGCATTCAATATAAGCCGCGGCTTATTAAATGTTATACATTTTTCATTTTTTCTACATTTTATCCCTACTAAGCCGCACACAAATATAAGCCGCACTCAAATACAAGCCGCTCTCGATTATAAGCCGCACACATTCTGATGTGTTGAGCAGTAACACGTTGGCCACAAATAGAAATTCAATTAAAAAATTGGATAACTGAAAAAAGAAAGGATGGAATACAAGTTACTGGTAAACAAGTTCTGCGACAAGCAACATTAGTAGCCGAGGAGTTAGAAATTAATTTAAAGGATCTCCAAAATGGGTATATAATTTCATGAAAAGAAATGATTTTGTAAGAAGAGTTGCAACATCGGTGGGACAACATTTGCATGCAAATTGGGAGGAAAATTTAATACAATTTCAACATTTCGTAACCGAAAACAAAACAAACATGGACTTACCTAACATTGGGAATATGGATGAAGTTTTGACTTACCATCAAAATTTACTTTTGCGAAAAAAGGCAGTGATGACATAAAAATTGTAACTACTGGACATGAAAAATCTAATTTCACAGTGGCTTTAAGTGTTCTTGCTAGTGGCAAGAAACTGCCACCATATGTAGTATTTAAAAGAAAAACACGCCCAAAAGGAAATTTTCCAAAAAGTGTTATTATTTCGGCTAATGAAAAGGGATGGATGTCTTCGAATGAAATGGAGCTATGGCTAAATGAAATTTGGAATAAACAGCCTGGATCATTTTTTAAAAAGGATAATGGCCTATTAATATTGGACTCCGTACCTGGACATCGCACCGATGCTGTAAAAAATAAATTTAAAAAAAATCAAATAATACCTGTAGTTATACCTGGAGGATTAACGAAACTGTTACAGCCGTTGGATATTTCAGTTAATAAATTTTTTAAAGCAAAACTAAGAGAATTGTGGGAGAAATTTATGATCAATTCTTATAATGCTTATAAAGAAACAGGAAAACCGATAAAGCGAGTGTCTTATGAAGAAATCGTTAATTGGATTGACACAGCATGGCAAAATATTTCTGAGGACGTCATTAAAAACGGATTTAGAAAGACTAAAATAAAATTCTACAATGAAGAAATAATTCCAAATGAGCAANTTCGAGAAAATACGCTACTTTATAAGGATTGGTCTTTTCTAAATTTAGCAGGTGAATGCAGATGATGCTTTGCGAGCTTTCTATACAAAATTGAGATTTTGGATTTATTTGTTCCTAATCGCGTCGTAGATCCTCATACCCTCAACCCAACCCCAAAAATTAAACGGCTATTAAAGGTGAAAAAGTATTATAGGAAGAAGTGGACGAGAAGCAATAGTGCTTTCTATTCAGCGGAATATAAAAAACTGAGGAGTTTGACTAAACAGAAAATTTCTGATGCGTATACTTCCTTTAATATTAGTGCTAAATAATCGCTTAGTTCTGATCGCCATAACTTTTGGAGAGATATAAGACAGAAAACAATCCCCTACTAATTACTACACTACACTAGCGTTTCTTAACCTGTGGTACGCGTACCCCCAGGGGTACGTGAAATGGTCTCAAGGGGTACGCGTAAAAAAAGATGTAATGGCGGACTAAGTAAAGAGAAAAGAAGACTGTGTCATCTTCTTCTACTAAACTTACTGGTTGTAAGGTTAGAACAGTTGGGTATCAATGAATGAAATCTTCGGTAGTATCTTCCCAGTTTTGCCCAACCATGAGATTTAGAAGTTTTTTCATATTCGCAACCTTTTCTTTTGAAATTGGGCAGCGGACTTTCCATTGAAACGATGTTTATATGGGATATGGAGCTTTATCTATCATTTTCAAAGTATCATTTTTTAATTTTTCGCTTTATGTATTTAAAAATAATGAGAAATTTTTAAGCGGGAAACTCCTTTCGAAAAATTCATGAATGAAATGATCAGTAAACTCACGTTACTATAGTAACTAAGTGGCATTTAACGTTTTCTTCGCCTACTATAATTAAAATTTTGAATATTAATCTTTAATATTTTAGAATTAAAAAATAACGCTTATTTTCCCCAAATACACCATGCGTGCAATACATCATTGGAAAGCTAAAAATATGCTCTTTTCAGTAACACCATAATCTACTATAGTTTGTATTTAAAAAAAAACAACTTTGTGTTGTATCTCAAAAATCATCAAATATTTTTAAAATTTTTCAACGGCAGTATATTCTACTTAAAAAAGTGTCTTAAGAACGNGATACATACTATTAATGTAATGTAAATGTAAACAAAACATTACAGAAATAATTCAAAACCATTAATGAAACATTTTAGTAGTGTACCGTAATTGTCAGCTGTATGTTGCAGAAACGTTTCAATAGAAACGTTTCAATAAAACATAAAAAGGGTCGGACATTAGCAGTTTCAGACACGTTTCATCTATGTTTCAGAAATATGTCGAAGAAACGTTTCATGTTTCAATAATATGTATCAGAAATGTTTCTGAAACGCAAATTTGTTTACTGGGAAGTAACAAGTATCGTACTTCTATTATTATTTTTCCTACCTTAAGGTATGATTTTGTTGCAGCGTCCACCGTCTGCGCCCTGGGTGGTATGCTCAGAAATGCTTCCTCAGCATATGCATATCTTTTGAGGAAGCATGTATGAGCATCTTGTCCAGGATGCAGACGCTACACCTCAACGAAATTATATCTTTACATACATATGTACATCCCTGAAACGTCAACGAAACCTTTCAGAAATTATTTTTAAATGTTTATGATACATACTATTAATGTAATGTAAATGTAAACAAAACATTACAGAAATAATTCAAAACCATTAATGAAACATTTTAGTAGTGTACCGTAATTGTCAGCTGTATGTTGCAGAAACGTTTCAATAGAAACGTTTCAATAAAACATAAAAAGGGTCGGACATTAGCAGTTTCAGACACGTTTCATCTATGTTTCAGAAATATGTCGAAGAAACGTTTCATGTTTCAATAATATGTATCAGAAATGTTTCTGAAACGCAAATTTGTTTACTGGGAAGTAACAAGTATCGTACTTCTATTATTATTTTTCCTACCTTAAGGTATGATTTTGTTGCAGCGTCCACCGTCTGCGCCCTGGGTGGTATGCTCAGAAATGCTTCCTCAGCATATGCATATCTTTTGAGGAAGCATGTATGAGCATCTTGTCCAGGATGCAGACGCTACACCTCAACGAAATTATATCTTTACATACATATGTACATCCCTGAAACGTCAACGAAACCTTTCAGAAATTATTTTTAAATGTTTATGATACATACTATTAATGTAATGTAAATGTAAACAAAACATTACAGAAATAATTCAAAACCATTAATGAAACATTTTAGTAGTGTACCGTAATTGTCAGCTGTATGTTGCAGAAACGTTTCAATAGAAACGTTTCAATAAAACATAAAAAGGGTCGGACATTAGCAGTTTCAGACACGTTTCATCTATGTTTCAGAAATATGTCAAAGAAACGTTTCATGTTTCAATAATATGTATCAGAAATGTTTCTGAAACGCAAATTTGTTTACTGGGAATAGTGCTTTCTATTCAGCGGAATATAAAAGCTGAGGAGTTTGACTAAACAGAAAATTTCTGATGCGTATACTTCCTTTAATATTAGTGCTAAACAATCGCTTAGTTCTGATCGCCATAACTTTTGGAGAGATATAAGACAGAAAACAATCCCGTACTAATTACTACACTACACAAACAAGGTGGGATTTGGGTTGAGTTTGTTGATACGGATTCGGGATCAGATTCAGGTTTCGGGTTCCGGTTTGGGTTCGATCTGGGTGTTTGGGGTTGAGTTGCATTGCATAGAATTAGAACTGGATTTCAGATAATTGTATCTCTTTATTTTTCTTATCGTTCGGGAATCAAAGTGAATTTTATACTTATTTGTAATCACTTGTTTCTTGAGCTATTATTTTTTAAGTATTATTCAAACAAAAGAAAGAATTGTTGTGTAATAGTCATAGATCATTAGATAGATTCATTAAGTTTAAAAAGCTTTAATTTTTAACATGTGCATTCTTCTAAATCATCTTATTAATATTACTATATTTTCCGTTAATTTTAATTATTTGTTGATTGAAATGGGGGTTGTCTCCATCCACCAAATTCTCTTTCAATTTCTTCGGCAATTTTAAAGCATAAACGATCCATTTTAAAATTTCCAACCACCTGCAATTTTCAATTTCTTTTATTTTCAATTTCTTTTTCTCTGCGAATACTTACTTGTAACCCAATAGGTAAACCTTTAGAGTCGACCCCAACAGGACAAGAAGTAGCAGGAACACCCAAAGTATTAAAAATCGTTAAATAAGAGGTATCCAAAGTTTTCGAATAAATCTCCGAATGATAATGTGCAACCGTAGGAAATACAGGATACAATAAAACTCCGTTTGATCCAAGTAAATCGCTTATATCATTTCGAAAAGCTTCGATTTCTTTCATAATGTTCTCACGACGTCTTTTGGTAATTAATCGTTGTGCTATTTTATAAACCAACGCAAATAAAATCGTCGTTGGTTGAACATTTGATCGACCGACAAAAGTAAGAATTATTTCTTTAAACAAATTCCTCTTTTGATCATTAAAAACGGTTTGTACACCTGAAATTGATAATAAAGGCAAAAACGCCAAATCAATCGAATCAGACATCCGCTTTAATTTAACCTTTTCTGTTTGATGCCCGTTTAATTTAAACTGTTCAATAACTCTTCTCATTGTTCGAACAATTTCATTTTGAACCACATGAGTCATACAAGCGTTTCCATCAAATTCCATATAATAAATCGTAATAGTTTTTACGGGAACATCTATTTGCGGGAAATTAACTTTCATTTCCGGCTTTAAAATAACATCAAATAACAAATTTAAATCGCAGGCATAACGAGTTAATGGTCCAACTGTGAATGCGATGTTAAATAGAGGGTTTGGTTTATTTGTGTAAGGTATAGTTTCGTTTATTGAAACACAATTTCCGGTTGGTTTATGACCGAAAATTCCGCAAAAATGTGACGGTAATCTTATTGAACCACAAAGATCTGAACCAAGTCCCAATATGGATGATGCAGTTGATAGAAGAACAGCCTAAAAATTGAACTAACATTAGAACTAGAAACATTCTACTTTTGCCGTGTGTCTTTCAAGACTTTCTGGTTTTAGGTCTAGTGTTAATTCTAGTTTTGCTTCAATAAAGTATGCAAAAACCTGGTGGTGAATAGTAACTAAAACTAGAAGCAAAATTAGACCAAGAACCAAAAACATTTGGGTTTAGAAAGGGATACAAAAGTACGCTTATTTTTTAAATTGTGTTCTATTTACTTCTCCTCCTGATGATCCACCACAAGTTCTTCTTGTATCATAAGGATTAACTGTAATACCAGTTTGTTTATTACATGTTTCCCAATTTAAACACAATTCCGGTGTATTAGAAACTAATAAAGGAATTCCACCAGCTGTTTTAATTTGTTTAATTGCATCGTTATCGTTTTTAGCAATTTTTAAATGTTTCGTTTTAACCCCACCGTTAAAACTTAAACCTTTTAACCCAACCGTTTCTTTTATTGTTATAGGTAACCCTAAAAGAGGGTAATTACATTTTAATTCATTTTCATTTAACATAGTGTCGCTTAAAAATTTGTCGACATTAATAGCGTCTGTTAAGGCAGCGTCAAATCGTTCTTCTACAATAGCGTTTAATATTGGATTTACTTCTTTTATTCGATTTATATAAGTTTCAATGACACGTTTACTAGATATTTGCTTCGTACGAATTAATTCGCCCAACGTTAATGCTGGTACTAATAATAAATCGTCATTTATTGGTGGGCATTTTTTTGATTTTTTAAAGTATCCAATCCATTTTATGGGATATAAAACAAATCCGAATATTAATGAAGATAACCATAGAAAAACATGTATTATAAAGCGCATTCTTGTTTACGTAAAGTATATAAATTTTCTTTTTCCAAAAATGTTATAGAAGCTTCAACCTATAGAAAATTAAACGATTTAACTGTAACTAACGTCTTCTTTACTTTAAATTCGTTCTTTGGGAGAAAGAAATTTAAATGAGACAGTGTAATGAGGTATTTTTTTAAATAAAAAATGTGTTATTGACTTTTAAGAAACCGTAAATGATAGGGTTCTTTATTAAATGTCTACATCAAAGAATTTATTTATAATTTTATTAGGACACATTTTGAGGGATGCAGCTATCGCTAGACAACATCAGCTCTTTTAACAGTGGAAAGTCCTTTACCGCTCTATTTAAAATTCTGTATACTGCACTGGTAATCTCATTACCCGTTCTTTCGTGAAGTGTTTCAGACCAAATTGCACAGTATACAGCCTTAGTATCGTTAAATAATATATGTATGTATGTGCCGTCATGTTAAAGTACGACCAACCCAATATGGACGGTCAAGCATCGCGATCGTTTTGAAAGGTACACTCAGAACCAAAATGTTGTGACGCTTAATTGAAAAGTTTGACATTTATATTTATAATGTGGACAATTGTGAATGCAAGGTTATGAGTGTTGCATTTTAGATTATAAAATAAAGACTTTTTGTTTAGCTATTAATATTTGATTTTATGTCGACATATACAAAACAATATTATACTCTACATATTTATTGATTACATTATAACTTTATAACATAAAATATATTTGTGCTATTTCAGGTTTGTTGAGAAGTAACAATTTATATATGAGAGACATACATTTTTTAAAAACTATTCTAATCTGAATCACTATATGAAATATCACTGTCCGATTCACCTAAATTGATAATAAATCTCTCTTCATTGTCGAATAGCTGATCTTTTGTTATATATTCATTTCTAATTTTCTCTACGTGGTTACATTCTTCTCTCCATAATTCTGGAGTTATTTGATTTACTGCCTCGTGAATTAGATTTTCCATATTTATTAATCCAATATTACGAGAGGCTATTTTTCTCTTCACCATACTCCAAATTAGCTCTATTGGATTCAGGTCACAGTGATACGGAGGAAGGCGTAATACAGTATGACCCTTCGATTTTGCATACTCATCAATTACATACTGTGGTGATGGTTTGTACCTCCTAACGATTTCTAGTAGCTCGCATTTTAACATATGTGGATGGTATGGTATGTTCATCGATTGTAGCCAACAGACTATATCATTTTTCTTTGATGAAGAAGTAGGAGGCCTATGTATTTGTACTGAATGGTAAGGCGCATTGTCCATAACGATTATTGAATTATCCGGTAAATTTGGTAGCACTTGTGTTTTGAACCATTTTGAAAAGTTCTCAAAATTCATTTCGTCATGATAATCACCACTTTTTGTTTTTGATTTAAATAAAAGGAAACCGTTCTTAATAAAACCCATACTGCCTCCACAATGAGCAATTATCCATCGTTGACCAGTTCCATCTTTTTTCAAAACTCCATGTTCATCAGGACCTTGCCAACATTTCGAAACAGTATAATTTTTATGTACGTAGCTTTCATCCAAATATACAGCAGGTCTCTTATTTTCACCAAGTTCATCATTGGCTTTTAGGAAACGTAAATAACGAGCTCTCCACGCAACAATATCATATCGCTCCATCAAATATTTTCTATTAGACTCACTCTTTTTATATTTAAATCCCATATCAATTAAAATGTTCCGTAACGTCTCTTTCGAACCTTTGAATTGGGTTTCATTTACCATGAAGGCATGTAACACATTTAGAGTTGGGACTGTCTTATCAACTGTATATAAAGAATGAATTTTATTGCGAAGTACACATCTACAACATAAAACAATGATATAATAAATACTCACACAAGTTACCACAAAAAGTTACCTGTCTGTATCATCTAACAAAATCCGAGGTGACCTTTTAACGAAGCTAGTTTTAACAATATCCATCGATGAAGATTGTGCTTCGGCCTGAGGTGGCTCATTTTCCTTATTGCAAAGCGTCAGTTTAATTCGCCGAATTGTTCTCTCGGATTTCCCTGTCATTGCTGCCACACGACTTATAACCTGGTCAACACAAAATGTATATCTTCCTGCCGCCTTTTCATTCTCGCAAAATGTGATAATATTCTGCAGTATTGTGAGCGCTTCGCTCTGCTCGGATTTTCTCTTGGACATGTTTGTAATATACGTATCTAATTGTGAAAATAAATTATATACATACATATCTGACACCTATTAAAATTAACATTACTGACCTGAAAATCAGATGAGAAGGGCTTTTGCTCTGAAAAGAACAGTTAATAGATAAACGAAATAGAACGATAATAGAAAATAAATTCGATAAACTCACAAAACCGTAATCTAACTCAAGCAACGCTGTCAAAGAAATGAAATGTCAGAAATATATCAAATACATATTGTTTTATTTGGTAATTTGACTGTACTACAGCCAAATATGGTCAAGGAGGTGAGGGGTAAGACATTTCCGATAATAGTTCGCATATTTTCCGCCGGCCAAATCCAACTGGTCGCACAATATATACATTTAGCTCATCGTGTCTTCGGAATTCCAATTCCCCAGCCTTTGCAGTCTTCACAGTGCCTTGATGCCTGGTTCCTAACGGACATAGCCTTTCCAATACCCGACTCCCAAATAGTTCTGCTGGATCTTCTTTCGTTTGGACTCGAATGTATCGTTTTTTTCACATTTTTTCATTACCCATTCGTTGAACGTGGTCGTATTTTGGTCTTTCCGTCTGCTCTTCTCAAGAAGTTCACTTTCACTGCCTGTAACCTGTTCTCCAATCGTTTCGCATACATACAGCACCATAGAGATGAAGATGGTGCTATATAATTGCTGTTTTCACTTTTTAGAAATGTTTTTGATCAATGAAGGGAATGATATGTTTTTGCACTTTTGTAGTTGACTTCATATTTCCACCTCACATCTCTGCCGTGATCCATTTTTGTTCCAACGCTTTGGTTACGTTGTTATCGTTGAGGACCAGATCTATTTCTTTTCCGATCAAGCAAAGATATTATGTTTTTGCTCTCTGTTCGTGACATGGCTCCACCAGTCAATGTGGAGCTATTAATTTCCTTGTCATATACTCGTCCTAGACCACTACCTCCAAAGATGTACTTGTTTTCCGTTATTATCCTCTCGTACAGTTTTTTTTTGATTTTATTAATCAGTATGGTTACTCCCTTACTGGCTCTTGCATTTTTAAAAACTCCGTTGTACCGGGTGGCCCGTTACTTAATTAATAAAACTGATTCAATAAATTTAAATAATTTATTTCTTTAAAGATTTTAAAAAAATAATTCGCCCAACGTGGGGCTCGAACCCACGACCCTGAGATTAAGAGTCTCATGCTCTACCGACTGAGCTAGCCGGGCAGATACTTCAAGTTTGGCTCAATTGAAAATCGTAATCTCTTAAAAATAAAAATATAATTGAAATATTAAATTTTAATTATAGTTCGTTTTTTTTCTATAATACTTGTCAATGTAAATTTTTTAGGGTTTCTATTGGTATTATCTTACCTTATTTTTTGTAACATTTTCAGTAACTAAATAGTTGAGGTTAAAATACTAATACATTTTTAGATTAATACGTTTTTAACGAAGTACATATTTATTGTAAAAACGTGCTACAAAGTAATTAAATAGAACCAAATACCTTTTCTAATAAACACCCCACAACATTTTTTATGCACCTTTTCTTTTTGAATAACGAAAACTCAAACGTCAGTGTGACATATCTATTTCAAAATATGATAAAACAAAACTCCCTGTTAATTTTGCCAACTTTACAATAATTTCGCAGGTATTATAGAAAAAAAAATGAACTATACATAATAATTCATTAAAATATAACATGAAACATTATAATCTACAATTGTGATTAAACCTTGAAATTTCAATAATTTTTGCTACAACATTTTTTGACATTTCATTATGACAGAAAAAAGATTTACATTTTTAAGAAAAAAAATGTCTTTTTCCTTGATTTATGTCAAGATAAAAATGGTGTAATCGTATAAAATGGGGAAAGAAAAAGTAACAAAGGTCAGGAGAACGTTATTGGGTAAGAAATAAGCTAAAAAAAATTAAGTGTAGAAACGTAGGGTATTTTTGTAAATTATTCGATTACCACACGGTAAGTATCAATTGATGTATTGTTAAAGTAGGTCACAATGGTGAAAATACGCCCTAAACTCCCCTTTTGTGAGGGGCTTCTCGTTGCAGAGTAAGGAACCGCATGCGCCAATGTACGCGTGAAAGGAACGAAACCAAAATTGGGGTTAGTCGCTAAAACGAGGCCGGCGTGAAAATGTTTGGCTACATTGTCTTCCAATTTAAAAATGTTTCAATTTTTATTTAATAATTATATAAGTATTAGAATTAACAAAATTAGTAACTAAAACATTAGTGGTAGTACAAACAAGAAATCAATCAATTACACAAATAATTAGATTAGGAAGATTATTTTTGGAATATTTCTAAACAGATTCTAAAAATGTTATTTTATTTTATTAAACCATAAATATGGCTAATATCGTTAAGTGTTGCTTTAACCCAACGAATATATCCGATATTGTTGAAACTGTAGTGCAAAAATGTACAGATCCCGGATGTAAGTATGTAAAATTATTTATGAATATATTATATTCCTTTTTCATAAAACTCATTACAATTTATAATAAATCTAAAATAATTCAAATCAGTAAACATTTTCGCGCGATACTTTTAAAATATTCACTCGCACATCAATCGTTAGATGACGCCAGTGTCTCGTCTGCGGCAAAACGTCATTCATTAAAATGAATCTGTCAAGAGTTGATTGTTGAACGGTTCGTTGTTTTTAATTGTTAGCAACAAATAAGATTATATTAACGATGTTTGGTAATTAATTGTTCATTTGTTAACCGAAAACTATACTTTTCCCTTCTAAGTATACGTTTTTGTTTTGTACTTTTAGGTTGTTGCGGTTGCTGCAGTGCCCTTAGGCCTAGATACAAACGATTAGTTGATAATATATTCCCCGCTTCACCTCAAGAAGGGTTAATAAAAGGCAATTTGGAAAAGCTAACGTTCTATTCGTTGAGTTCTCCAGAAAAATTAGATCGTATAGGTGATTATTTATATCAGAAAGCTGCAAGGGATATATCTCGAAAAAGATATGGGTGAGTTTATTTATTAAAAGGCATTTTATGTTACATTTTTGTTAGTTAGTGTTGAATGGATAAAGATTTTTATGATTAATTTGATAAGGTTTATAGAATTAGATAAGTTTGTAAAAGTGTCAATAAAGATTTAAAGATTAATTTAAAATTAGAAAAGAGTACAAGATAATTCTTTCCTTTTATTATTTAGCTTTGTTATTATTGCAATGGAGGCTATGGACCAACTTCTTCACGCCTGTCACTCTCAACAACTTAATTTATTTGTGGAAAGTTATTTAAAAATGATACAAAAACTTTTAGAATCAACCGAACCTGAATTACAAATTTTGGCAACTCTATCAGTAAGAAAAATTAATTGCAGTACACTTTAATATTATTTAACTATAATTTTGTTTTAGTTTGTTAAATTTGCCAACATTGAAGAAGATACCCCATCGTATCATAGAAGATATGACTTTTTTGTTAGTAAATTCTCTTCAATGTGTCACAGTGGGGCTCAAGGGGATAATAGAAATAGAATTCGCGTGGCGGGAATTCAGGGTTTACAGGCTGTGGTTAGAAAAACTGTTTCTGATGATTTAGTGGAAAACATTTGGAAACCAGTTCATATGGACAAAATCGTGCCCAGTTTACTTTTTAATATGCAGGTAATTTTTGTTATTTTCAAGGCCTTTATTCAATTAAAACAACGTTTTAAACGCAAGTTGTGTAATTAAACGTAATTAGGGTTTTTAAACATACACTTAACTTAAATTGAAACTATAAAATGTAACTTTTTTTTAGGAATCAAGTTTTTATTTAAAGGAACCGAATAGCACCGATATTATCCCTGAAGATCATGCGAATGATCCTCCAATGCTTGCGGAAACTTGCTTACGCGAATTGGTGACACGAGCATCGTTTGGGCATATTCGAGCGGTTTTAAGACCCGTTTTAAAGTAATTGGGGATAAATTTATTTTGTAAATTATGTTCCATTGTTATTTTTATTCCTTTCCAGACATTTTGACTTGCACAAGTTATGGGTTCCAAATCAATTTGCAATCCATACGTTTCGAATCATCATATTTTCAATTCAAGTAAGAAATTAAATTTAGGACTAAGTATATGATAGACTGGTGCGAATGCTTTTTATTTTATTTTGGTCATAAAGATAAAAAATTTCATGAGATGTAGATTATAGTGTGGTATATATTGAGGATCTTATTTCTATATGGAAATTATTGCAGTTCACTTCCTCTATCTCTCTTCCCTGCCACATCCATTCCTCCCCCCCTTTGCAGAACTTCATGATCTTTGTCTTCTTGACGTTTACCTCCAACCACTTCATCTCCTTCATATCCACCGTCTCTCTAGCCATGACCACCAAATCATTCGCATACGCCAACGCGTGCACCTTTGTTCCTTCTATCACCACCCCACCATTTACCCCCTCGCGAGTCTCTCTTCCAAGTCCGTCGTATACATCGCAAACTGTGGGATTAAGCGGGCACCCTTGTCTCAATCTTTATCGTCCCGAATACCTCGCTTAATTCTTCCCCCACTTTAACCATAGCCATCGTCTTCCTGTACATCTACTTCACTCTTTCTATCAGCTGTTCTGTGATAGCTCTCCTCCTCATTTCCTCCCACATCTTCCCTCTATCAACCTTATCAAATACCGCCTTCAGGTCTATGAACAATGCATGCAACTTTCCTCTCTTGTTCAAATCCTTATTTGGCAGGTGTTTCAATATGTACAGGTGTCCAAATTTCGATGGGTTTACAGGGTATCTCAGTTATTATGAAAGATAGAAAGTTGCGGCTTTCGCGAACCTGAGCTACTTTTTTGTGAAACTTACAATGGCGCAAACCAAATTTTCATAGCCCTCTTCGTTTTTGATATACAGGGAGTGTTTCAAAATTTACGATTTTCAGACACCTCCTGTATCTCGGCTATCCGGAAACGTAAAAACGGGTTCTAATAGATTTTTTCACGTAGAATCCAATGGTGCACGTAGAATTTTTCTAGTCATCACGGTTTTTGAGTTATAAAGAGTTAAGTATTTTAGAAGTTGAGTATTCAGTATTTGAGTTGTGTTTATAACTCAAAAACCGTGATGACTAGAAAAATTCTACGTGCACCATTGGATTCCACGTGAAAAAATCTATTAGAACCCGTTTTTACTTTTTTACTAAGTTTCCGGATAGCCGAGATACAGGAGGTGTCTGAAAATCGTAAATTTCAAACACTCCCTGTATATCAAAAACGAAGAGGGCTATGAAAATTTGGTTTGCGCCATTGTAAGTTTCACAAAAAAGTAGCTCAGGTTCGCGAAAGCCGCAACTTTCTATCTTTCATAATAACTGAGATACCCTGCAAACCCATCGAAATTTGGACACCCTGTACAGTGTGTCCCAGGATAGATGTTACAAGAGGTATAATGACTTAAAAATGTTTGAATTTTATTTTATGGCTAAGGAATTAAGCCCTGCTTGGTGTGAACAGAATTTTAAGAATATTTTCATATTTTGAAAACAAAGGCGACCTTGACAATGAATCGAAAACTATTTTTAGTTTAGGTAAAGTAATCTTTTTGTTCATGATACGGAAAAATTTTATTAAGAAAAGTTATTCAAAATGAGAAATTATGGTCCTATACAAAATTTCAGAAGGATCTATCTACTTAGGTTGAACCATCACATTTTAGTTTAAATAACATAAATCTTGTATAGTAATTGAAATGTGAACTAAAGCTGAGGTATAATACAATTTATTTGTTAATATTTACTACTTAAGTCATTTTTTTTTTCAAGGCATTTTTCATTGTATTTTTTTTTTCTTCACTCTGATCTAACCTAAAATATGATGGTTTAATCAATGTAGGTAGATCTTTCTGAAATTTTGCAGAGTGTCATAATTTTTCATTCTGAACAACTTTCCTTAATGACATTTTGCCGTATCATGAACAAAAAGCTTACTTTACCGGAACTAAAAACAGTTTAGCTTCACCATCAAGGCCGTGTTGATTTTCAAAACATGGCAATATACGTAAAATTCTCTCCACACCAAGCAGGGCTTAATTCCTCAGCCTTAAAATAAAATTCAAAAATTTTTAAGTCATTATACCTCTTGTAACATCTATCCTGGGACACACTGTATATGTTGTCTCTTCCCTTCCTGAATCCCGTCTGCCCATCCCGCCACAACTCCCCCCTCTCCATTTCCTCTTCCAATCTCCCCAGCAGTACCTTTGCATCCATTTTAAATGTAGTGTCCAACAGGGTGATCCCTCTATAATTGTCCACCACTCTTTTACTCCCCTGCAGGCAAGGACAGTAGAATCTAACAGGACTGCTACATCCATTGTATTTTTGTAGTCCACTACGGATTGGTTGCCCGCACTCTACGTCACACTATTTGCCACGCCTGGTTACTGTCTGTGTTTTTAGAGGTTATATGATAGACATTAATACGTCTAAAAACATAAAACTTCAAAAATAATATAAATAAGTCTAGGATATAACCTCTAAAAACACAGCAAACGCATAGACCATAACAACAGATGGGCGTGGAAAATGATGTGACGTAGTTTGCGGGCTGGTTGTCACAACAATAGATGTAGCAGTCCTGTTAGATTCTACTGTCCTTGCCCTGCGGGCATATTATGCCAATCCTCCACCTGTCTGGATACCCCTCAACTCTCCATACCATCTTATTACCATCCATAACTTCTTCTTCATTGTCTCCGTCGCCTCAAACCATGCCTCATTCTCGACCTTATCCTCTCCTGGCGCCCTTCCCCTCTTTAGTCTCCAAAAAAGATGTATTTGTGAACATAGTTTGTAAACTGAATTGTTTTCTGGTTTATTGACTAGTATTACTCAAACTACCAAATAAGCAATCACATGAAATCAACTCTTAAATACCTTAGCAGCAAGCGACCTCTGCTTAGCTTTGTACAGGTGTCCCAATTTCGATGTCCGCATAGGCTATCTCCGAAACTAAAAGAGATAGAAAAAAAGTAGCTTACATGTCATGATCTCGTTTTTCGAGAAAATGCTAATGCCGAAAACTCCAAACGGCTATCGTCTTTTGTTTTCGCCCTATCGGCAAAAACTGAAAATTTTGCGAAAACGACAATCGCGAATATCTCACTTATTATCAAAGATGGAGTATTATAAATAAAACATTATATGGGCAACTTTTTACGAAGAATTCAGTGGCGTAGGTAGAATTTTTTTCCCATCTTTTATTTTCGAGATTTTAGACGTAACTTTATTTTTTTAAATGGAAACCATAGTTGGCTATGACTTAAAATAATTTGTTATTTTCTTCTGATAACAAATATATATAGTTTGTGGGGTATATTTCTTATAGTTATTGAATAATTAACAAAAATTCATTTTGTTCCATCTAAATCTAATGTATGTATTTAAAAGTTAATGTTGCTATGGTGATAACCATACATACTATGATGGAATATAATGTATCAATTTTTTTTGTTCTTTCTAAAACTATTGTATGTATTTAAAACTTAATGTTGTTATGGTGATAACCATACCATGAGGGAAAGCATTGTTTCCAATTATTGCCAAAGTTTGTAGCAAGGACAGTAGAATCTAACAGGACTGCTACATCCATTGTATTTTTGTAGTCGACTACGGGTTGGTTGCCCGCACTCTACGTCACACTATTTGCCACGCCTGGTAACTGTCTATGTTTTTAGAGGTTATATGATAGACATTAATACGTCTAAAAACATAAAACTTCAAAACTAATATGAATACGTCTAGGATATAACCTCTAAAAACACACAGCAAACGCATAGACCATAACAACAGCTAGGCGTGGAAAATGGTGTGACGTAGTTTGCGGGTAGGCTGTCACAACAATGGATGTAGCAGTCCTGTTAGATTCTACTGTCCTTGAGTTTGTAGTAGTATTTAAAAATTCACTAACAACTCTGGCATTATGTGCTGGTGCTCCGTCATATTGAAAATATATCATTTGAGACATATTTAGTGGCAAATTGTCGACCAAAGGCTCAATGTGCTGCCTTAATATATTGAGGTATTTCCCTGAGTTTAAGTTTTTATGGTAGATACTATATGCCAAAATTCTATTATCTAAAAGGGCACACCATACATTGAACCCCAATCTTCTTTGAACACTCAGAGACTTCATCGGTCCAGATAACATTTTGAACAAACAGCAGATTATTTAATTTTTTTAAATATCATCTACAAAATTCTAATCTTCGATTGACATCTCCGGCACGTAAATAATGAGTTAGCCCCGCTTTGTATGGTTTATACTTATTTTTCTTTCATATTCGGGAGCAGCGGCTTTTGGGTCAGACGTCTTGTTGCAATTTCTCTTGCAGGTCATTTTGGTATGTTTTTGTATGTGGTTTGGGGAAGGACCAAATATCTATTAAATTTTCTGCTAACCGGCTGAAGGTTCTTACGTGCGGTTGTCTTCTTTCTGGATATCTTGTGAAATAAAATTCCGCGGCTAACGTCGCATTCTTATCTGATAACATATAGCATTCCATCATGTTACATTTTTCATAATTTTCGAAATTCATTGTAAAGTTTTATTCAGTTTTGTTATACTTTGACACTTAACATGCTGGTGCATCGTACCAGCACATAATGCCAGAGTTGTTATCGAATTTTTAAATACAAACTTTGGCAATTATTTGATACATTATGTTCCATCATAGTATGTATGGTTATCACCATAGCAACATTAACTTTTAAATACATACATTAGTTTTAGATAGAACAAAATGAATTTTTATTAATTATTCAATAACTATATGAAATATACCCTACAAACTATATATATTTGTTATCAGAAGAAAATAACAAATTATTTTAGATCATAGCCAACTATGGTTTCCATTTAAAAAAATAAACTGACGTCTAAAATCTCGAAAATAAAAGATGGGAAAAAAATTCTACCTACGCCACTGAATTCTTCGTAAAAAGTTGCCCATATAATGTTTTATTTATAATACTCCCTCTTTGATAATAAGTTAGATATTCGCGATTGTCGTTTTCGCAAAATTTTTTGTTTTTGCCGATAGGGCGAAAACAAAAGACGATAGCTGTTCGGAGTTTTCGGCATTAGCATTTTCTCGAAAAACGAGCTACTTTTTTTCTATCTCTTTTAGTTTCGGAGATAGCCTATGTGGACATCGAAATTGGGACACCCTGTACAGAAGGTGTTTGTTGTATAATGTGAGCATACACGAATTATTGTACTAGCTAATAAAGCCCAGGAAAGAGTGGTCTTAAATACCAAATAGTGATCTTAGATAATTTAAAGTACCAGAATTATACACCTTTTTGGGAGTAATAAAATATAAGTAATTTTTTGAAACTTTAGGCTCAGTATTCATATACTGTTGTGGAAAGTTTAATGGCTCATCTGGATGAAAACTCGAAATCAAGTCCGAAAATACGAACGAGTATCGTCGATGTTCTTTCAAAAATAATAGCAATAGCGGCAGGGGAAAGTGTTGGTCCTAGCGTCCTGGAAATCATCAATTCTTTACTCAGTCACTTAAAAGATTCCGTTAAAAACCCGATAAGTCAAGCTGAAGAAAAAATGTATCAAGAGGCTTTAATAAACGCGCTGGGTGAATTCGCTAATCATCTACCAGATTATCAAAAAATTGAAATTATGATGTTTATAATGAATAAGATTCCGTTCCCGTTGGTTGAAAATCGATCTCCGGCGGATAACTTATTACAGAGCATTTTATTGAAAAGTTTATTAAAAGTTGGGACGAAATATCAAACGATTCAATTGAATAATACTTTTCCGGTTTCGTTTTTGGAACCTTTGTTGAGAATGTCTTTGGCTCCGGATCCTGAGATGAGATTGTTGGTACAAAAAATTCTTCATACTTTAATTGATCGACATAGTAATTTGGAAAAATTAACTAAACCAATGTAAGTTTTTTATTTTTTTGTAGTCTTTTTAAGTATTTTTAATTAATTAAATCATTTCAGTGTAAACGTTGAAAAAATACAATTAACTATCGAAAAAACTTCAAGACCTGATCTTATTTTTATTAATAAACACGGTCCTGTTATTTATGACGCCCTTTATACAAGTTTACAAATGGATTCGAATGGGGTTGAAAATATTGAAGCGGTGTATACGACTTTAGCTCTGTTATATGTTGAATTATCAAGTACAGAAACGGCTATTGACATATTACAGCTGATTCTTGGGTATGTTGCAACATTTCTATTAATTATTCTAATTAATCTAAATATTTTTTTAGGATCCAAAGTCTCGCATTAAACAGTACAGTTTTAACGAACGATCTAAAACATAATCTACATTCAATCGTGATCAGTTTGTTAGCATTGGTTGCAGATGAATTAGCAATAAAAGAGTTAAAAGATTACTCAAAAAAATTAGTAGCCGCTCGAAAACAGGATGCACCTCATTTACTTCCAGATTTATTAGAACGTTACCCAGCCAATTGCGAATTAGCGAATAAACTTCCACACTTACTAATTGACCAAATGGCAATATGCGAATATTTAAAAGCGGGCGGTTTAGATCCAACCCGATTGGCACAAACGTCACCATATGGTGCTGGGGCACCGGGTACGTCTTCGGGAATGCAAAGACATAGTTGGGTTGAATTAAGTGCTAGAAATAGCGTTGCGGAATTGGGTAATGTTGAGATTGATAGTGCGAATAGTTCACCTGGAGTTCAAAAGGTTAATTGTTTTTTTAATACTAAAATATATCCTAAAAATCCTTCCTCCAAATATAGATGAGAGAAAAACTTTCAAGTTTATGTGATTCCCGAACAAAACCTTGTGATGAATGTGTTTGTTACTTAGCGAATATGTCCGATTTTTGTTCGTCTCCTTTTAAACCTGAACCAAATGACAATTCCCCCACAAAATGTATTACTTGTGTAAGAATTCAAAACTACTACAAAATATTAAAAGAAAATAGTGAATTTTTTTATGTATATATAGAAATTGCCAGAAGAAGCGTTAACTTTTGAAAGTATGAAAAAAGTGTTAACAGAACAAACGGATTCTAAAAAAGAACAGGAAGCAGAACGGCGAGAACAGATAAGTCATACATTTAGGACAGCACCTTTTTCAGAATTGGTTCGAAAAACACAACCAAAAGTAATTATTATTGCTGATTTAATTTAATATTTAAATTTATATTGATTTCTTTCAGCATGATGCTCTTCAAAGTAAATTAAATGAAATTTTTAAATCGTTATCAGTAAACGAAGGTCATAGGAGTCCAACAGATAGAAAGAATAATGTTCCGGTTTATGAACAAAACTTTCCCGAACTGTTTGTGCATTAAAAATAAAAAGCAATAATTAATTAACTAAATTTAATTAATAATTGATATAATACGTAATACTAACAAAATTGAAAAAGCGCCGTTGCGCCGCTTGAAACCTCTTTAAATAATACTGTTTAAAGTATACCATTTAAAAGAGATTTGTTATTTTGTTGTTTTGGGTAGAACGTATGTAACATAAAATACAATAGTTTTATGTTATTTTACTCTTCCTCTCTATTTAAATTTTTCTTTTATATTTTTTATGGAATAATTAGGTATCTTGTTATATATTTATCTATTTTGTGATTGGAAATAAATCTATGTGATATAAAATAAACTGTATTTTATTATAAATTAAAAAAAAAACAGAAATAAGCCATGGGGAAGTGGGCGGAACACACGTTGCCTAAATTTTGTTTACAAATATCAATCAGCTCCGAAAAGAATGTTGGTAAAGTTAGTTTTCTTTTGAAATATCAATTATACGGTGAAGGAATGTTAAGTAAGGTCAGCTTTCTTTTGAAATGTCAATTGTATCGTGAAGGAATGTCAGGTAAGATTAGTTTTGTTTTGAAATGTCAATTATCCCCCGAAATCGGGGCACACCCTGGTAGAACGAATCTCTTAGCTCCGAAAGACAAGAGGTCCGAAAGCTTTTCAACCGGGCCAAGACATTAGGTGAATGGGAGAAATATAAACAAGCTCTAACGAATTACACCAAAAACATACGTAAGGCAAAAAGAGAGTCTTGGAGGAGGTTCTGTGAGGGAGTGAAAGACACACCCAGCAGTGCAAGAATTCACAAGATTCTCGCTAGAGATCCGGCACTACCCCTGGGCTCACTTAGGCGGCCTGACGGTAGTTTTACGGACTCTAGCAGAGCCTCGTTGGAGCTTCTCATGCAGACTCACTTCCCAGGAAGCCTGATGATGAGGGCCGATAATGCCACAGCGGGCTATTCCTGCAAGGCAAAGCGCCCCTCAAATACGGATTGGAGTGTGGCTAGAAAAGTCGTCACTTACACATCCGTGGACCAGGCAATTCAAACGTTTAAGCCGTTCAAATCGCCTGGAGAAGACAATATCTTTCCTGCTTTGTTACAGCAGGGGAGGTCTTTGTTGTTGCCAATTTTGGTAAAAATTTTCAGAGCGAGTGTCGCCTGGAAATATGTGCCGGCAGAATGGACTAAGGTACGGGTATCTTACATACCCAAAGCGGGCCGTTCGGTCCCTACTTCTAATGCCTTTCGACCCATCAGCCTAACGTCATTTCTGCTGAAAACCCTTGAAAAAGTTCTGGAACGGTATATCCGTACGGTGCCATTGGTATCTGGTCCACTGAGTCGCCACCAGTATGCTTATCAAGCGGGAAAATCAGCAGAATTGGCTCTACACAACTTAGTTGGTAGAGTATCCAGGACGCTGCAGGATAAAGAAATCTTGGTTTGTGCGTTTCTGGATATAGAGGGAGCGTTCAACAACGCAATACCACAATCTCTTGAAAGAGCTGCTCTTGACAGGGGAGTGGAAGCAACTATAGCGGGTTGGATCCGCAATATGCTAGATAGTAGAATAGTTTCTACTTCACTCCACGGTGATACGATACGCTTCAGGCCGGGAGGTGGCTGCCCGCAGGGAGGGGTGTTATCTCCCCTGCTTTGGTCCCTCCTAGTTGACGATCTGATTGCGATAGTCGAAGCCGTTGGTGTGGAAATACAAGCTTATGCTGATGACATTGTCGTTATGGTCAAAGGAACCTGTTTGCCGAGGATATCTAAAGTCCTCCAGGTGACCCTAGATACCATTTGCGCTTGGTGTAAGGGAGAGAACCTCTCAATAAACCCGCAAAAGACAATTGTTGTGCCCTTCACCAGGAAGCGAAAGTTGGATGGACTAATCCGCCCAACTATCCAAGGTGAAGAAATTCCTTTCTCAAAGGAAGTCAAATATCTAGGAGTAATCCTAGACAAAACCCTGTCATGGAATGGACATTTGCAGGGAGTTTTGCACAAAGCTAGACTATCCTTGTGGACTTGTCGCAGTCTTTGTGGAAAAAATTGGGGTCTTACCCCTGAAAGACTGTACTGGCTCTATGTGACTGTGGTTAGACCTATGATCACATACGGAGCAGCAGCCTGGTATAGGAAAGTCCGACAGACTTCAGTTATCAGTAAACTTTCACGAATTCAACGAGTAGCTGGATTGGCAATCTCTGGTGCGATAGGCACAACGCCAACTCTAGCAATGGAGGTTCTGCTTGGCCTATCTCCTCTGCATTTGCATATAGAGAAAGTGGCTAGAACAACCATTTACAGATTTAAGCAATATGCTCAAAACTGTTCCGACATGTCCTACCAATGGGCTGCGGAAGACATTATAAGCACTGATACTGTGCTATCAATGCCGTCAGATTTGGCGGTATCACTATCAGTGATTAATGCTCGATACCAGATTGTACTGCCTGAGCGGCAGTCCTGGATCGAAAATGAAAATTCTCTGGTTCGGGCAGACATTTGCTTGTACACAGATGGATCAAAAACGCCTGAAGGGGTAGGAGCAGGAGTATACTGCCAGACACCTCGAATTAAGCAAGCCTACAGCCTGGGTACGTACTGTACTGTATTCCAGGCGGAAGTATTTGCTATTGACATGGGTGCTAAAATCCTTCTTGAAAGAGGGGTGAAGAACATGACAGTACGAATTTTCTCAGACAGTCAAGCCGCTCTCCAGGCGCTGCAAGCCGTGAAAACGGTGTCGGCTCTGGTTAATGATTGTAAGAGAACATTAAACACACTGAGTTGTGATAACAGAGTCTCTCTGATCTGGGTCCCGGGTCACTCTGGGGTTGCTGGCAATGAAGCGGCAGATAAGCTAGCACGAGATGGCAGCGCTGAAGCGTTTGTGGGACCGGAACCAGCAGTTGGTGTATCATTTGCGATGGCCAAATATAGGATTGGACTGTGGGCTGAAGAGAGACTTCGCCTACTGTGGACCAGTTCTCCTGGAATGAGACATGCTAAGGTGTTTATTAACATCGCCACTGTCAAACCCGGGAATATTTTAGGACTTGCCCGTAGTAGCATAAAAGTTCTAATGGGTGTTTTTACTGGGCACTGCCGATTAAAAGCACACCTCAACTTGTTGGGTTTAGCCGACGATGTTGAATGCCGACTATGTGCGGAGGAAGCAGAGACGGTTGAGCATGTTTTATGCCACTGCCCTGCCGTTAACCGTATCAGATTCTCGATTTTTGGGTCGCAGTTTATCTCCTCAAAAGATCTGAATGACCTTTCGCCGAGTGAAATTTGATAACGATATCTATCGGGGTACAATAGATCCTTAGGGTCGCGGTGCAAGGTTGGTTGGTCCGCCTACCCGATATGTATTCTATGTAATGTAATGTAATGTATCCCCCGAAAAATGTTAAGCAGGGTCAGTTTTCTTTAGAAATATCATTTGTTCCAGGCAAAGAATGTTAAGGTTAGTTTTCTTTTGAAATGTCAATTACCTATACCGTGAAGAATATTGAGTAATAGGCCCTATACATCTGCAAACAAATTCCGCAAACTGACGTTGCACAACAGATTATTGTGCAAACAAGGTTACCCATACACTATATACAATTTTATAAAAAAACTTCCGTTGCTTGTGTTGTGTACGCATGGATACATGCCATCTGACGAAGCAGCCTGTTTAATTATAAAAAACAAGACACAATATTGAAAGAAGCAATATCACCACCTTCTACTAACACATGTGAAAAGAAACTGTCGTTATTGCCCAATGTGTCGCACAAACCTCATACACAATGCAATGGGGTGCGCAACGAATGGTGTTGCGCAACTAATTTCAAACATTTTTCGTTGCAACATATCAATCAACACTATACACTACACAATTTTCCCAAAACAGCGATTGTTGCGCAATTGTTTGCAGGTGTATGTGGCCTATTATACACACCATACACCTGCAAAGAAAAGTTGGTTTTATTTATTTGGATCTCAAGTAAAAAATGGTATGTGTAATCGTTGCGCACCGCCACGTAGATTTTCAACAATAACAATGCGTTCTTTCTTCTCAAGTCTATCGTAACCCCTACAAATACAAGGTTGGCCAATTAGTTTCCATTGCAGAAAACCAAGATAGATACAGGGTATCTCAGCGAGACCGGTCATTAGACGTTTATGGGGTCAGACTTAAGTATTATCAATTTCGAACTTTATTTTTTTAAATGGAACACCCTGTATATTTTTACATATTTGGATTTGTCTCTTGAAAACAGACTAATAAGAAGTTGATCTGTGTCTATCGAAGAGTTTGACTTAAGAAAGAATTCGCCTGGAAGACGAAGCGGTTGTCCAAACACAAGTTCAGCAGAAGAACATCCCAGATCTACTTTTAAAGAAGATCTGAGTCCTAATAAAATTATTGGAAGATCGTGAAACCACCTGTTGCTACTACCACGTGCAACAATGGAATTTTTGAGTGTACGATGAATATAGAGTATATTTATTTGTAACTCTATATTTATTAATCGTACAATAAAATATTAAAAATTAAAATGGAGTATTTGGTAGACTGTTTTATGTTTGTCTACCAGTTTATTTATTATTTTATGACTATAACAAAATCGCCATGGGAAAATACATTATGTTGATATAACAACCCATGGTGATATAACATGATGTTTCTATATAAAAATAATAAGAGTGCGTGATGCGCTACATGTCTGTTTTGAAGGTTTATAAATAACTTTACTTTTTGTAATTTGATTCGGCCGTTCTCGAGTTATTCGATCTTTTCTAGAAAAATCTGCTCCAGCAGACATTTGCCCAAAAAATCAGAGAACACTCGATTTTTGGGATATCAATTTAGGATTGAGAACATGCTTCAGCAACATGATGGAGTATGTTTTGGTGCCGAGAACTGCTGTCTAGAACGTTTGGTCACTTTACTATGGCACGTTAACTTTTCAAAATTTGGAAGTACCATAACTTCATTTTTTTAAATGGCACCCCCCATATTTTATTTCTTAGGCGTCTTCGGTGTCTCATTCTACATCTTTTATATCTGATATGTCCCATACCTAATATTAATAGTTTGGGAGATAATTAGGGTTTTTTGAAAAATGCCCACATATCATATGAATATTTAGCCTAGTGTGCTATGAAAAACAAGCCTTCTCAATGAGTTCTTGTCAAAGACTTACTTGTTTATGTCACTTGCATGATATGCATGTGAGCTAATAATTATCTGTTATGTCCCTTAATATTAGTACTGAAACGAGTTAAAATCGATAACAATAACGAAAGTAATATTTACACAAATCAAGAAATTCTTAATTTATTTTTTTTGCATGAAAAGCGCGACAAAGTTCGTAGCATGATTCCCAGATCTTCTTTGGCAGCTCGAATTGAGGTGTTGGGACTGGGCTCGAAATAAGCCAAGGTATATACCTCTTCCGTTGCATTATATACTACATTTTTTGGTCAGTTTAACACGTGATTAATTCGTCCAAAATGCAAAAAATTTGCTTCTATTCTTCTAAATATACCTTTTGTCATCGGAGATAAATGTGGATAATTTTGATTAAACATTCTGCAAGTTCTACTAAGAACTTTGTCGCACTTTTCGATGATTATGGAAGTATTTAGTGATAGTTCTGAAGAAGTAGAAGGTGTTATAGAAGAAAATGAAAATATTGATGATGATGACGACAATATTTTATCTAGTGAGGAAAACGATATTAGCGATGAAATTGAGGAAGAATTAGATCGTAATATTGAAGTTGCTGGTCGCACATGGAAATACATAGCTCAAAAACAAAGGAAAACAAGAGCAGCAGATTGTATTCGCAAAGAAAAAGGTTTGACAGAGAAAAGCAAGGATATCGAATCGATTCTGGATTGTTTCTTTTTATTTATTTCTGACGAAATTTTTGAAATTATTGTAAAATTTACTAATCAAAGAGCAAAAGAAATTATAAGTAAATATAATGAGACTCATGAAGACAACTTATTCAAATCATGGCAAGACGTAGATGTTACGGAAATACGTGGTTTCTTTGCAATACTAATTTTATCAGGAAGATTTAGAGAAGCAAAAGAAAACCCAGTTAATTTGTGGACTTCAACAAATATATCTTTATCAAGACCAATATATCAAGCTTGTATGAGCCGAAATATATATTGCGATATTTTACGCTTCCTTCGTTTTGACGACATTTCCACAAGAACAGAGAGAAAAAGTCTAGACAAACTTGCTCCAATTCGCGATGTTGTTGATAATTTCACAAAAAACTGCAGAGATTCATNTTGATCGGTCTATACTTTATTGATGGTATGCTGAATGGGGAGAAGTACCGAAATTTTTTAGATGACGTCTTACCAACGTGACTTGTAGATTTGAGCAGGGAAGAAAGACAAAATATGTGGCTGCAAAATGTTGGGTGTCCAGCACATTTTTTCCAACAACTTTCATTTGGTTCATCTTTATGAAAAATTTTCGTCTCAAATTAAAGACTATGTTTCAATTAAAACACATAATAATATGACTACAAGTAAAGAATACCTATTTATTTAAAAAAAAATCTTATTGCTATAAGTGAGACCACATGTTGTAATATTCTTTTTATCAAGAAAAAAGTGTCAGTATTACAAAATAAAAAAAACAATTCCACAATTGTAGTACATCTTTTGTGGTACATTACTTGTTTTATTGTATTATCTGACATGCAAATTGTCATGTAACTGTTTTTGGTCAGTTATTTTGTAATACTGATAGTTTTTCATAGTTAAACATCACAAATATATGTGTTTTAATTGAAACAATCTCGTCTGAGAAGAAAAATTTCTTTAGGTTATTCAAACATAAACAGAGATAAAAAAATCAAAAATACCACTATTAGAATGTTTATGTTTAATTTGTTTACAAATAAGAATTTTATTTTAGTTACCAGTTTAATATATTTTGTATAAATATATACTAACTATATTTAATGCATACCTACTCTTATACTTACTTTATTTGTCCTAATCAATGAGAAAACAGAATCGTAGAAATTATTGATGGATAATTTTGAAATTTGGTACAGTAGGCGTAAGTAACAAGTATAGTACTTCAATTATTAGTTTTTCTACCTTAATGTATGATTTTGTTGCAGCATCCACTGCCTGCGCCCCGGGTGGTACGGTCAGAAATGCTTCCTCAGCATATGCATATCTTCTGAGGAAGCATGTATGAGCATGTTGTCTGGGATGCAGATGCTAAACGCCAACAAAATTATATCTTCAGGTTTTCTGAAACGTCAACGAAACCTTTCAGAAATTATTTTTAAATGTTTATGATACATACTAGTAATGTAATGTAAACGTAAACAAAACATTACAGANCGCCGAAAACAAGAAAAAGAAAGCGCGAATAAAATACACCGTTTTGTAATTATACTGTTTACATTTAACGAATTTTTATTATAAATATGTAGTTTAGCATTTTTTTATTTATTATTCTACATTATTATTTTAATTTATTTAATTTAGATTAAAATAAATCGATTCTTCTATTAATATTTTTATGTAAATACACTTCCTTTTTTGTGTGTGTATATTTGTATTTCTTAGAAAACACAGATTTTTTTTGCTGGCGACACGAGTGCAATAACGAAAGTTGGGGGATTGGTTGAATTGGTTATAAGTGACACCTCCGTTTACTTTATAAACCCCGCCCTATTTTAGCCCGATTCTGAGTTCCCACGTGTGGACCCATTCCTCTTAAGTCTGCATTCTCAAATTTTTTGTTTGGCCAGAACCCCAGAAACGTCTAATGACCGGTCTCGCTGAGACACCCTGTATAGAATGACAAAAGAGGCCACAGAGATCCATCGGCATAGCAACAATATGATTAGAGAATACAGCTGAGAACTTAGCCGCACATAGAAAATGGTAGATAACTTGACGAACTTTGCACTTGAAGACATAGATAATGTTGAGTTCCGCTCAGCATTGAAAATAGGAATTTATGTGTATACAACCATAACGTCATTTGTCCATTCATTTCATCCACGTACGTTGATTAATTTCTGCAGCAGCATAACTTTTTCAATTGAAAAATTACTTCTGTGATATATTTTTGAGTATATCACCACTTTAATTTATAACTTTTGTATCTATACTTGGAGATAAAAATAAAATCATTAAGCAACGCTGGGAAAAAGCAACAAACACAAAGATTTTATTAAGAGAAAATGATAAATTTAGAAATTTATTATTATAAATAATTTAAACCAACGGAATTTATAGATTACTTATGTATTATATATTACAAAATACGTAGCTAATAAGCCCCGATAACTCACCTATTGATTTTAGCATTCGCGTAAATGCCGATAAGATTTAAAAACTGATAAAAATCCCCTCACATGTTAGTTAATTTTGTATCAAAAGTGTTTGTGGACACATTTTTCATTAATTTGTTTTTTGATTTGCAATGGATGAACTAATCGATGACATACCAATAGGTTAGTACAAAAACCTTGTTACATTATAATATTGCGAGATAAAAAAATTATTTATATCAAACTATTTTTATATCCAGAAATATCAGCGTGCGAATCATTTAAAATTAAATTAGAAAGTAAATTCAATAACAAAATACCTTTGTACAAAGGCACTTTGGATTCTATTGATTCCATATCGTGTCAAGATGTTTCTGAAAATGTAAGTAAACATGTTTAAAAAAAAATGTATTAAAAGGTGTTTAATTAATCTTTCCAGATTAAATTTATCTTATTTTTTTTATAGAAACACATAATTTTATTATATTTACACGTGGATGGAAATGTTTTTTCCGAGGAATTTTGTGCACATCTCAAAAACGAACATTTACTACAAGAAATCGATAAGCACTGTTACTTTTTAGCTTGGGATTTAAATGGTTGTAACGTAAAATCATTATTAAGCTCAGTTAAATGTACTTTGGGGTTTAATACCATTTATAAAAACGTTTCCGAAAAGAAACCATCAATTTATTTTTTAACTCCCATAGAACACGAAATTATCGAAGTCATTGATAAAACATTTCTCGTTAAACATTTTCCTTTTAACCTAAAACGATTAATTAAATCGGTTTGTTCTAACACCGAAGAAGTTGTCCGAGAAGTTGAAAAACAAAGCGATGATATCAGGTTTTAAACGTAAAGTTATTTTATGAAATAGTTTAAAATTATTTTTTCCTTACTTTTAGTTCAGAGAGATTTCAACAAACAATGTATGAATTAATAGGAGACAGAGATTTCGATTCATTTGAATACGATGAACACGATTATTTAAAAAATAAGTTGTATTTTGCAATTTATGGATCACCGGATAGTTGCGAAAAAGATGAAGAAAAAGAACAAGTTTTAAATGACCTTTATGGATTAATACGAAAAACTAATAGTAAAGTTTAAAATTAATGTGGAATTTTTGTGTTAATAATTTCCTTATAATTTTATTAGATGAATATTCAAAATGGAACGACAGAATTGTAATATCGTTTATTTACAATTGTACAGAATCTACGAAGAGCTTTATAGGAAATATGACACCAATTCCGGTTTTTAGTATTAGAAAATGTAAGGGGTCGAAAAACTCGTGCAGAAAATACATTGATTTAGATCTTAGAGTTTATAATTCGTGGAAGCATTATCTCATAAAGAATAAAATGCCAAAGTGCAACATGATCGTACCGAAAAACGGACGATATCAAGGCGATAGCCGAGGAAACGTTCTGCTAGAACATTTTAGATCACCATCTTACACTAACACAGCTTATGCTTTAAGATATATGGATATTATTATGACAATTTTAGGAATTATTGCAGCTATTTTAATGGTCGTTAGTATTGTTTATAATCCCATTATGATTTCTGCAGGAATTTTAGGATTAACATGTGCTATTTATTCCATGACACGAACAGCTTTTCAAATACACGATAGAAGAAAACATAGAATGGTTTTTATTAATTTTAATTGATTTATTATATTTTTTAATAATCGATCGTTTTTATTAATAGAATATGAGCATAAAAAATCCTGATGCAAGGGGAGCCTATTTAAATATAGCTGCTAATTCTATTGGTTTAATTGGTGGAGCACTAACTCGAACAGTAGCTATTGTAGCCAGTAGGGGAGTAGTTATAGGAAAGGTTTATTTGACAAATCATCTAGATACAGGTATCACAAACGTCCGGTAGCACGGTCGATAAAAACAGAACGGAAGCACATAGAAACATGAAATTTGGCATACATTTTATTCAAACGTTACACAGGCCCGCAGACGCTTGGGGAATGCAGCCATCGGGGTGGAGGGCACACTTCAGACTGTCGAAATTCTTATGGGGAGTAGCACACAAAAAATTGAGAAGGTTCAAATCAATGGTGATTTGAGTACCTTAACCTTATGGCGATGAATTCTGTTGAAATATCCAGGGGCGTTCGTTGAAGTAAAACTGGCTCCAAGGAACCACTTCGTTCATCAGAATTTCATCAATGTAGTTGGTCTTGACTACCTGATCTACAAAAATCAGCCGTTTTGGCGGTTGAATTTTTGCTCAATCGTTAATAACTTCTCATCAGTGGAGAAAATATATTTGCCTTCATCTAATTCCATCAAAGTGTGAATCTTTTGCATCTTGGTGTTACGAAGCCTCAAACGATGTTTGACGATCCTGTGCACATATTCACGGATGATATTCAGCTCCTTAGCCATCTTCTGAAACTCCTCTTAGAATTCTGGCAGTCTTTGGTCTTCCACTTGATAACGTCGGATTCAGCATCAAAATTGTGGCACGCAAAGCTAGGCTCCCGGACATTTGTGACGCCTAGTAAAAAAGAAAATCCTATAACTCTTTTTTTCTTTTAGAGTATGTTAATGACTGCGAATGCAATAAATTACGCCGGATTGGCAACAGATTTCGTTGGGATAATGAATTCTTTACATGCAATGAAAACCTCAAAACGACCCGACGCCCTTCAATTTCTTCAATTTTCATTCTCTATTCTTTTCTTTAATAATAGCATCATAAACATAGCGAGAACTCGAGGACAATTAGTGCAAGCAGAAATTTCGTCATCCATCAAAGTCAGTAAATCAACCAAGTACGTTTTTAAATTTAACATTTTCAAAAGATTTTTAATAATAATTTATTTTAGAATTCAAAACCCCAATAATCAAACTGTATCTCATCTTAGAAGTATCCATTCCCAGGATTTAATTAAAGTCTTAGGATCAAGAGGAAATCGTCTTTCGGAAGCGAAATTGATTACGTTTTCGACGGCAAATGGAAAACTTTCACTAAACGACGTTCCTGTAACCGTTTTAAAACAAACAGCGGTTCGGTTTCAAGGAATGTCTTTACCTCCAATGCAATATATAACCGAAGTCATTCAAAAAAAGTATTTAACCGACGAAGAAGATGTAAGATTATACGAAGACGTCCTATTTCATTATCCACATACAACAAAAGAGCATGTTTTTAAAATTGTCGAAAAATTATTGGTTAAATTAAAAGAGGAACAAGTAGAACATAAAAACGCTATAAAGAAAATATTCCCGCAATCGACGTTTACGTGTAAAATTATGGAAATTTCTATACAATTTTTGGAGAGAAAGTTTGAAAATGAATGTGATCTTTGTGACAGTTTAGAAGAAAATAAATCGAAACTTTTTAGAATGATCGAATCTGTTGATTTAAATGAAATCTTAATAGATTTAGTTCAGTTTTATTTGGATTGGTTAACTACGGCTATTTACGAGTTCGAACAGGCGAATGTAAAAAGAGCGAAAAGACGCGAAATGCAAATGAAGTACAAAGAAAAAGTTAATTGTACGATTTGTGGTGGATTTTATTATAAAAATTCCAAATAATCTTGTAATAAACTAAAGTGTACTTTATTAAATAAATATTTGCTTTAAGAGGATAACCTATTAGCAAAAACAACGAATACCATTTTATTCAGCCATCGTTTAAAATTTTTGTATGTTTGTTACATCAAAATTTCTATTTGTTTATATAGTTTTTAGTGATGCATTTAGTTTTTTCAAAAAATGTCGCGTAACGTTTCTAAAATCACGTTTTAAAAAAATTTTAAAAACGGAATGCATCACCAGGTAGTGAAATGTAAAGTAAATCATATTTAAAGAGTTCAATTTTTTTATTAAATGCAGCAAATTTAAATAAAATGGGTTTAAAACATGTAGTCGGTTTTGATTGCTTGCGGAGTATAAATACGGCAACATCGCAAATATTGCTCCGTCCCAAACATTACCCGAGACATAGTGGAGCTCGGTATTCTCAGTAACCGAGACGTCGGCGTAGTGTCTCCCAAGAAAAACAAACCTGAAGCGATTAATATTTTCGGATAGATCAAAAAATTTGTATATCATTAATTTAAATTTAAACATTTAATTTACGTAGAATGCAAAACAATGTCTAAATGTGGCAATACATTTTTAATAATGAGAATATTTGCACAATTATCTGATCATCTACTATTAGATTAATTATTAAAATAAATACAAAATAAAAATATAAAGAAGCACCAAAGGTATATTTTAAAATAAATAATACAATATAAATAATAAAAAAATATATTAACTCATAAAAAACTAAAAATTTTCTTAATAACAATTTTTAAATTTTTTCAAACATTTTCTGATATAAGGGTACTAAAATTTTACATCATCGTAAAGAGAAAAACAATCTCTATCAAATGAGCCTAACGAAAGGGTACATTGCCATTTAAAAAAATTCAAGTGTTATTCATTGCTCATTTGTTTTCTGAAATATAAACAATTGAATGCTGTCTTATTATGGCAAATAAAATATTAAACAACTTTTGTATAAAATGTTTACTTTTATATAATGTTTAAAAGTCAACATTTACCGAGATATACCGTATTTTCTCGAATCTTATCCGCACTCGAATCTAATCCGCACCTCGATTTTAAAAATGCAATGATGGTAAAAAAAGTTGCTTTTCCAATGTAATCCACATCCGATTGTAATCCGCATTTGATTTTAGAGCATACAAAATTTGTGAAAAGGGTGCGGATTAGATTCGAGAAAATACGGTATACTGTATTCCATAAATAATGGGCACCCTATATAAAAATATATGGTGTTTCTGTAAGTGGTGGCATAATTTCAACCTCATATACTACTAGAGCAAGAATTATGACAACTAGTGTAAATATTTTTACAATCAGTATCAGAATATCAAGAAAGATTTCCACAGCGTCATTTGCCATATTATTTAGTTTTTAGCGATTCTTTCAGAAGACTTCGAGAAACAGGTAATCCTATTCGACCGCATGTAGTTAATGTAGAGGACGAAGAAGCTGTAATTAATGCTGTCATTGATAATCCTTCTATCAGCACTCGAAGAATAGCACACAACATACATGTAAGTCAACATTTTGCATGGCGCGTATTGAATCGCCAAGTCCTTCATCCGTATCGTAAACAGAACGTTCAAGCTCTACAGCCAGGAGATAATCAGCAACGGTTAGCATTTTGTGAATGGTTATTGTAGTAACATGCCCAAAATAATGACTTCATTTCAAATGATCGTTGAACAGATGAATCATGTTTTACAGGAGATGGTATAAATAATTACCATAATGAACATATCTGGGCATTACAAAATCCGCATGCGATTAGACCAAGGAAATTTCAACACCGTTTCAGCATCAACGTTTGGGGTGGATTATTTAACAACAATTTACTAGGTTTGCATGTACTTGATGAACGTTTGAACGCTGTAAATTACAGATTTTTTTGAACAACACGATTTCTACTTATGGGGTCATATGAAACAAATTGTGTATCAAGTGGAAATTAACACACGAAAACAGTTATTAAACAGAATACAAATGGCTGCTACTGAAACAAGAAATCAACCAGACATTTTAATTCGGCTGAAGAACTCTNTCTGCATTTTTTCTAAGATAAGTTACACCTTTACCTACCATTAAAACTTTAAAGTGTTATAATTTCGTAAATAATTAAAATAGGACATATGTTCATTAACATTTTTTTTTGTAATTGGATTAGCTATCATATGTCAAAGTTTGATGGTGAGCTGATAAATCACCCTGTATAAATCAATAAATGGCTAAGGTATAGATTACCTGTAATAATTTCAATGATTTGTCATATACAGATAAAATTTGGTATACTGTGCAATTTTATAATGAGGAATCTGATAAGATCGGCATCCACCAACATCCCTTTTCGTGAAAATATATAATTTTAACTAACAATTTTATCAATTGTTATCATTATTATCTAATGAAATACTAGCAATAACAGCTATGTTCCAAAAAGCGGCCTCGGCTCGTATTCAAATGCATTCAACTAATTGTAAGAATAAAATCAACGTCGCTGATTGTCGGGGAATTACCCGACAATCGGACAGTCCTAGTCGCCATCGGCCTCTTAATTCTAACATTTTCTAATTAAATTATTTATTGTAAAATAGTATACTGTATTGAGAATTTATGAAATTACCGAGAGATGATACTGTCATAAATCATCTTGTGGGCACTAGAGGCCTATAGGGGGCGGTAAAGGGCGCAGAAAAAATTGGGGGTCCCGAAGCCGTTTAAGAATACGACCGCTGATTTGTCTTTTTCTAATAGCCCATTCTATTGGTGTACTATTTTACAATTTTATATAAAATTGTAGTGCTAATGTAAAACTAGAACTAATACTATACCTAGAATCATTCGGGTTTAGCCGTCTTTAGAGACATGCGGCAAAGTTGGGGGGCGCTATTTGATTCTCAAAGTGGGCGGTTGAAGAAATTAGTTTAAGAACCTCTGCGCTAAACGATACTGTTTACTGATACCATTTATAGACAGTGGCACGGAATATATCCCCTGCCCCTGAATTAAGCTCCAATAATAGAAAAATGTTTTTTACAGGAGAATAAAAACAATGGTACTTTTTTCAATTCAAGTTCCTTTTTATTTTATCGGACATTCACAGTTCACATATAACTATCTCCTATCTCAACTCTAAGGCAAAAACTTTTTAACAGAAAAAACCAACTGATATTAGAGATAGAGAATGTTATTACAAGCGCTCATAAAAAAAAGAAAAACAAATTTTTCTTCAAATACTTTTATTATAGGCGTCCAGACGTTCGTCCTAAGGAAGGCGGAAATGCGATGGTGTTCTATCCCCAAAAGGCTATTATTATTATTTAAAAACGGTTTAACCAGAAACAATTAATTATATTCTTAACAAACGTAAAAAAAAAATAATGAATTAAACACGTTAACTTAATAAATGCAATTAGTAGTATTTATAATTATTTTCACCTTTTAAATTCATTTTAATGGTTTTAATAATGTGTTTGAAAAAATTAAACGTAATGTTATATTGTGACTTGGAGACATTTAAAAATTAATTAATTCCTGGTAGATTCTATTCGACTCGGATCAGTTCAACGTCGAAGATGAGCGTTGAATTCGGCGGGATGATCCCTGGATGGCCCCTGGAACCGTACGCGTAGTCGGGAGAGCAAATCAGTTTCGCTCGTTGACCCACACTCAACTACAAATTGAAATCAATCACCTTTGTATTCATTTAATAAAAATTAAAGCAATCAAAGCTTAAAGACAATCAAGAAGCTTTAAAAAAATCAGATTTGTGACCAATTTAACATCTTTTAATCAGAGCGCAAGGATAATTATATCATCATTTGGAGCAAAATTAAAAAGTTAATTTAAGAAGGAAGGTCGTGAGTTCTTACCTGTGCTACCCCTTCATCCCAACCTTTGATAACTTCTCCTTTTCCGATGTGGAATTTAAAAGGTATCCCTCTATCACGGGAGGAATCAAACTTTGTTCCGTTTTCTAATGTTCCAGTGTAATGTACGACCACCGTTTGGCCTGTTTTGGGGTAGGTTTGGCCTATTTAATTAAAAAAAAATAAAGTAAGTATACAGGGTGATTGACATAAGAACCGACACAGAGCAGGGACATGTAGAGGACAATAAATTAAGATGATTTAACGCAACTTATCTCTATACCAAGTTGTACCCCTGAGGAGTTATAGGCCTTCAAAGTTGGGTCTTAAATTTTTAAAACATTGAATATCTTCGTAATACATTAAGCTAGAAAAACCAAATTTGGCATACGTTATGAGTGTACCAAGAGTATTAATTGGTAGCAAATTGAACCCAATTGCAGCATTTCATAGGGTTGATTAAGGGTGATGGTACCCTAAATTTTGACAACTTTTTTTTAACCTTTTGGTGGATTTAATACATTACTACTTCATTTCATGTGGAATTTAAATCTAAAACTTTTCTTACTCGTATTATTTTTTAAAAAACTTAAATTTTAAAAACTTTAAACTTAAATTTTTGAATTATGATCTATTTTAATACCAAAAGTACTCAATTTTGAAATTTTGGTGATTTTTTCTTTATCACTAGAAAATCACTATAACGAAACCAAATCTGTTTATGGATGATGTCTTTTTAGTTCATATTAAACAATTTATTTCAAAAAAACTTATCTCCATCACAATTAATTTTT